CCATAGTTGATCTGAATTCAACATCATCCAGATTTCAAAACGGTAGAAATGAGAAACTGTGAGAAAATAGAAGGACATTTGTCAGACCTTAAAATGAGGAGCCCAAACAGATGCAACATGCGCGCAATCTCCACCTAGGGAGGGATTTTACTCGTTAGCAAATAACCTAATGATAAGGACGGTAAGTATCGGAAACTTGGCAAATATTGAGTTGTAACACATCAATTTATCCTATCACCCTTCCATATGTTGAATCTTCTGCTGAAGTGTGCTTTGCGTACATTCAGCTTATATTTGTCGGCTGATTCAAGTCTATACTGGCACACACATATAGCGATTTCATCATCACTTGCGTTTGTAAATTGTCATTGGTTTGGGGTGTGTAATGTGGTCTTTATTGCTTGGAAACACCCAGCCTTCTAGCAAAACAAAAGGTACCTCATATTTGAGACTGGCTTTTGTTTGTTAGGACTGCAATGCATCCTAGTGTGTTTCTTCCTGAAGGGGTCCCCCATAGTAGGCAGTACTGTATTATTCAGCTTACGAAATCAAGATTCATGTGCTGAACTACGTTAGAGTGTGTATTTTGCCTCAAAAAGATTGTCAGTGGTGTAAAAAAAAGTTGAAGTAGGCGAACAATCATCACGTAGTTAAGGAATATTAGTTAGTTTGCTGACATATCCCAAAAAGTGGAAATATTCAGCGCTTTCCATCTACTAACTGCTAGTTTGATTTGACGCTGATACGCAACTGCATCCTACGGAAATAAGTAGGATTTCATGCGGTCAGTCATGCGCGACATCAAGCATTCGCAAACTATCCGAATGTGAACAAAGGTTGCAAAGCTGATCAAGTGTCACCATCGTTCATGACAATGAGCATTTTATTGACGGGCCATCCCCACAGTGTTCCTCGGACCTCTACGATAACCCACGACCGGTCGTGTTCTTCTTGGGGCTCATCAGATAGGCGTACTTCCCGGATATCCATCAACCTTGTGTTCTAGTTTAATCTGAATTTTACGTAATTGGCTAAAAACTCCCGTTTGCAAACCAGTCGGGTTTAATGGCAGACTCAACTAAAACCCAGATTAATCTCTTGTTTATGGTATTCCTCAGCTTGTGTTCCGTTGATATTCAGTTGAGTCTCCCATAAAAAAGAAATCAGCCTTGAAAGGCTTTACATGGCGAATTGCGATAAATTCGGATTCAATTAGAACATTAAAGTTGGCGGGAAATCGGGATGTGCCTTTCCGACAAGCCAAAAAAGTAGGACGAAACCGGATGTGGGGATCAAAGTGTATCAGTAATCGTAAAGCAGTGTTCTGTCGATAAAGTCTACTGCGATATCTCGAATATCGTGCCAACGGAGATATAGGGTGGCCTTTGTAGCTGCACATTCAGTTGATTAGGTGTTGGTGGTTGTGGAATTTTCGGAATTCACGTGCACATCACCCTAGTTTGAATAGTCATTCTTCTATCCTGGTGCAGTCATTCTTATGAACCCATATCAATGAGAGTAAGGTCACGGAAGCTGTTTCGCTGTTATTAGATCTCACTATTAGAGAATAGTCTTGGCCGTGTCGGGGTTTTAACTCCGGTCATCTGACGTGCAAGGCAAGCGTGGTACCATTAGTTCAGCAGCGCACACCGGATGCCTCTGAGTGTTCACATCTGAACGGGCGAAGGTGTTCAAACCAGAGTACTGCGATCGGTCTTCGCTCTGCCTGGAACGATGTCCCAGTAACTGTCTTAGTTTCGATCAACTGATCTGCCTCACAAAACTTCCTAAGTGGTGCCACGGACGCTTTGAAATCCGGTGAACAATTTTTACTCATTGTTGATAGTTGCGGGATTCGTAGAATCCACGTTCACGCGACTCCTGTTTGAACAATTACACTCGTTTGAACACTCGTCCATTCACTAGTAGAATTTCGTAATCAAGAACCACAGTAAATCACCAAGACAGAGGCCACCTTATGAAGACGCTACCTCTCACGAAAGTCAAGAAAATTAATCCTTTGTCAATTCTCTTGCGGAAATCCTGTGCTCGGAGAGACCACTTCTTATCTTTTACATAATAGTCACGTTATCTGTCCTCATGAGAGCATTTAACTCTCAAATACACCACAACAACCACTGTATATCTAGCGATAGCACAAAAGGGCGACGTTTGTCAATCGTAGGCATCATCCCCTTTGGATAGACGAACGAATCAGCTGGCATCGGCTGGCTTTTTAATTGTTGACCATCGATCAATATTCCCTATTTCGGCTGTCACCGATGCATACTCAGTAAACTTTCTCGAGTAAATGAACTCCATTCCTTTTATCTAAGGCGTGCATCCGCTCCTTCTCCATATTCACATATCTATGTAAAGGTTTCCTTTAGGTAATGTTTATTTTGCCATTTAAAAAAAGCTAGAGCTTTCTGTACAGAAAGCCGCTGCCTGATACACTTCATCATTCTAATAGTGCAAGTAGTAAGAGAGGGAAACCAAACACTCACCAAACCGAATTATTATCCCACTATATCACATTTATATTGTGCTTAGGAAGATATTGATGTGATGTACACAGATGCATTGTCTAAACATCTACATTATATCATATATGATATCATAAACGAGAGATTCATTTGAGTCTGTCGTAAAACCAAATTGGTACACAGATGCATTGTCTAAACATCTACATTATATCATATATGATATCATAAACGAGAGATTCATTTGAGTCTGTCGTAAAAACCAAATTGATTTGCAAATAAGTGTGTTTCTCGAAAACAGTTCAATTTGGATTCAAGTAGAAAATAAGGTAGACGGAAACTCAGAGACTGCGCCTACCTGATGGGCCCCAAGAAGGGTGAAACCGGTCGTGTGTTGTCGAAGAGTTTTCAGCAATCTAATGAGTGGTTTCATTTATGAAAATATACTGCGACATCTCGAATATCGTGCCTGTGTGCAGCACATTCGGTTGTAGAATATCATAAACGAGAGATCCAGTCGAGTCCCTCGTGAAAACCGAATTGATTTTCAAATGAGTGTGTTTATTGTGACCATCTACTACTTTGGAAAAGCTGTTGAACTAAGCATTTGATGAGATCTCCGAAAGCTTTGACCTAGTGGATTTTAGGGAAGTCAGTTGATAAGCAGAATCCTCTCGCAACAGTAGCAACTGAAAAGGCGCAGACAATGTGGCATGAAGTATTTTGCAAAAAGTTAACTACAAGTGAGGAAAGGTGAGGAACCTGGCTAATACTGTGTCTTCAGCACTAAAGAAACTAGTTTGTTCAATCATGCAGGAGCCTCTTAGAAAAGTTTTGTTGCTGGCCTGCTGCTGGTGACTGTGATGGTCATGATAGAGAGAAGCAGGGACAATAGTGCAGACCAACAGTTCTGCTGAATAGTAACCTCTGTCAGGTTAAATTTGAGGCTTATCGCCGTCTTCGGTTAAATCTTCGTAGATTGCAAAGTACGCTGAATAAGACGGGACCAAAATTATATCAAAATCCGGGCGCGTTCTTCTTCGTTCAGGAACAACCGAACTGCAATTCACATGTACGGACAAGGCTGTAATCTCCGGAAAGACCAGATGAGAATACCAGCTATAGTAACTTACCCATGCAGATAATCCCTGTCAGCGGAACCCTTAATGCAAGGAGCGCCTGCATAATTAGGAAAATTTTATCCTCAACCAACTTCTACTTGGTTCTAGACAGGCTTCAATGCTGATGCTTTTTGCGCGAACATTCGGACTGTTCTTTTGTTAGACTTTGACTTGTAGTTCCGTCTGCCAACTTTAAAGGATGAAATTAAGCTTTGTACGAGGTTTGAGACATGGAGCCTCATGCTACCCTCACATTAGTCTCCAAATCAAAGCCACAAGTTCCCGAATTCATTTTCGAGGAAGTCATTTATCCAGCATTCTGGCTATGCTGGTCTAGGAAGCACAAAACACTAGTGACACAATGGCGTTACTAAATCCCGTGAGGATAATTTTGGTAACATCCTGTTCAAAAGCTTGCAAGCATTACAGGCGTAAAATCAAGTGATGTGGAACCATTAGCATTTAGGGAGCGAAATGCACCATTTAGGACGGACTATTACAGTTTTAAGACTCATTTGGATAACTGCTTTTCTCGACTCCTTTGACGCTTACTATTAAGAAAATGGAGCACAACAAGACAATTTGAGTTGAAGCAGATGAAGGGCAGACATTGAGTCGCAAACAAAAGAAACAGCATTTTCCGTTCATTCGCTTTCTTACTAGCTAGAAAAAAGACAAACGTATACCGCAAACAGAATGCTAATGGTGATCAGGATCGAAGATGTTCAAAGCTGTAAAAGCATGTCGCGTAGCAGATAGCACAAAGGTAGATTTGCAGGGGTGGTACTGATTCTATCATGGTTTCTACAGTGTCCATTGAGAAATCCGGTCACAACTCATGACTTCCGAGCGGAAAAATTTGAAAAAACAAGGCCAAATCACACGCAGTCGTTTTGCAGGATTGAGCGAAATCTTAAAAAGGGTGAGCGAAGGCGAGTTGTACGTACATGACAAATAAGAAAATTCGAAGCCCACCAAAAATGGTACCTGCAGCATAAGTGTTAACATCGTGGTTTCGAGGTTCTAAACGCGAGATGAATCATACGGAGGAAACAGACCATTAGCATTTTGAGACCGAGTGTGCTGGCGGGTATGCCAAATTCGACTTAGTTACTGCGTTCACCTTGTATCCTTTGTCGCATAGTTTGCCAAATCAAATTGGTCAGAAAAAAAAACAAATAATTCCGTTCTTAACGAAAAGGAGTAATTCCACTGTGCCGTGATCCTTTCTCGTTTACAGTCATTCCACCACACTCAATAACTGCTGTAATTACTGATAGAAAAATTATGCCCAATTTTTTGAAACTCGATCCATTTATCAACTTACTATCTACACCATTGAAATTTCATGAATTTTGTTTTATAAAACTTTTCTTTAAAAGGGCAAAACTATCCAATGGAGATGACTTGCTGGCCGGTTATCATTCGAGGGATTATGTTGGCCAAATTGCACTTCAATGGTTCTCACTATAGGTTAGTCAAACAGATATTTCCAACGCAGCCTTTGACATCTGCGAGCACTCCTGTGCGTTAGGTTCCATGGAAATTGGTTAAAACGTTAAGTGATTTACAAGCCATGGCACCTTAACTTTCACTGCTACTCATTGGTTAATTCTGGGGACCGGTATTTTGGTGAGTCCAACTCAAGTGCGTTGAACAACCGTCAGCAGGCAAGTTTACACCATATCACGCGCAAATCACTCAGGATTATGGACCGTTCAGCAATCGAAACTGGAATGGCTTTTTCGAAATGCTGTTTCTCAAGGATAGGGACCTGCAAAGCAAAGTTCCATGGCCAATCAAGGAGGGTGATTCTTCTTAAATGTAGCTGTTTGGCTGCGAATACATGGGATGAAAGGCAGCTTCTAGGTTGAGGTTATGGTCTGTTGATCATCAGGTCATGTACCCACGAACAGTTGTGTATACTGCATGGGAAGTGATGTACCCACTGAATAATTAGTGGCGTTTCTTGTGTACTTAACACTGCGTCGGTTCTCTGTGTAATTCATAAATGTTAGATATTCACAATAAACTCACTGTCCACATTTGTTTGCATTCATGGTTTTGAGCTTCATTTTAATGAAGCCACAAGTCATTTCAAAATCAAGATTCAGTTCCCTTTGAAATAACATCTCTTATCATCTATTTTACAGAAAGTTTAAAAGCCCGTTTCTTGGCTGGGCTGCACGGACAGCTGTCTGAGTGAAAAGTTATGGGAAATGGAATTTTACGACTTATTTTGAGAACAGAAGTGAAAACAACCAAGTGGAAATTGTCGAAGATTCAGAAATGTGTTCTTCGGAAGAAATAACAAATAGCTTTGTTCCAAGTTTCTCTTTTGATTCAGATATAGTGGTACTCAGTAAGCCCAACGTTCTAGAAGGATCCACTCCGCAATTAGGACCACTTCACGCCGGTTTCATGAGTTTTGGCTTGAAACTACCTTTGCACCCACTAAAACACCCGTCACATGAATGTCTCTCAGTCTCCACTAACACAATGCTTAGTGCTTAACAGAACAAGTGGATAGCAGATGAATACCTTGAAACAGCTAACGACAACGTGCACAAATCCAAGAGATAAAGCGGCTGCTCTCAGGAGGAATAGCTTCGGCTTTACAGTGTCCCGTGTATGGTGAGGATAAACTAAACAATTAGTGGGTATTGACGGTACTATCCTAAATTTGCGTTGATTTTGCTAGTTCGTCCAGATTTCGAGTAGTTCGGAAGCGATCGATTCGTTTGCGTGAATTGCAAACTTGCGTTCAGGATTTTCACGTGGCTAGTAAGGTATTTATTGACTTTATGACCCTATCGATTATGGGCCTCATTGTATTCCCGAAGAGCAAATTTATTCTTAGTGTGAATAAGTCGCAAAAATTGTGCGAAGATGAAAGGAAGTTCCACAAAAATCTGAAAAAACATGCTTGCTGTAGGCTATCTTGGATTGCTTCCGAGGGGTTGCTCTGAGAGTGTTGCAGCACATGCTTTTCGAATATATGTTCAAACGGTTCTGTTGCAGATAATCCCATATCTCGGTGCTTGTTGAACTCACTGGAAAGCGAGTAAAAAAGCTATAGACGATTAACAGTCTTTACACTTTGTGGCTTAAAGTTGTCTGCTTCCATTCTTCTGCGTTTTTTCTAGCCAAAGCTTATAAACTGCTTGTTTCGTCATTTCATTATTACTTACGAACGTTGTTGTTCCCCAGTCACGCTCCCTGGTCTTATTTTGAGCCAGCTCATACTGTTACAGTCACCAATGTTTGTCGCACGCCAGTATTTGCACTCTGTGAATCGTGGATTTCAGGTAACTGTCAACTTTTGCAAAACTAAGATACTGCCTACCTTCTGCATATGCTTCGTACGGGCGAACGGAACTGCTTAAATGAAGAGAACTTCTCTTTCATTTCGTTGACGGTTTTATTGACTTGAGTGCAATGAACTGTTAGGATCGTTCAGTTTGTTTCTGGTTTACTGGGGCGTCTTTTGACAGAACGTCAGTATTTAATATTCATTCACAAAAGTGGTAGCTTAGAGTCAGTCGTGCTTTGTTTTCTCACCTAACTTAATTTTAATTGGGTTTTATTACTTTATTAACCTTATTGTGGTTGAAAGGTTTTTCGCTGAATTCAGTCCCCCGGTTATATTTGAATTACTGATCTCTTGGATTGTTGTAACCGTAGGGACCTCAAACTACCTAGTGACGCTCTCTATTTTCCAATTTTGCATGGACGGTTTCTATCCTAATTTGGCGTAATATAATTTCGCGAAAATTCAATGGGAATCTAATTTTAAAACCAGTCAATAGCAGTCAAATCGGTTATGAAAACAGTCGCTATTTTTGGTTATTGAATTGATTTGCTTTACAAAATTAACACTAATGGGCCAGTTTCTTTAGGAGCTGACCTGGTGTCGACAAAATTAGGATAGAAACCGTCCATGCAAAATTCGTCGCCTCAGCGTTTTATCCTGGGCAGTCAATAGGGTTCCAGATGATTTTTTTCTTCTCCTTCTAGTCATCTCGGAACTGGTTATCTTTGTAACACGTAAGCTGACCTCAGATAGCTCAGTTTAGATTTTTTTCTTTTGTCTGGTCTAGTGCAGAAATGGGGCCCGACTTGATCACACCATTAAACTCTCCCAATTTAAATTGCTCCACGCTCGTACAAAACTGTCAACCAGCCCATTGTTTGTGCACCTGTCGTCGTACACTACCTGTCGCTCATTTAGTGTCCCAACCCACGGATTCCCCTACAGATACCGTATCACTCAAGATAGTGTTGCGCAGAATGCATGACATCGGTGTACCAGTTGTTGGACTGCGTATGCACGCATATAACGTAAACACTTAGGCTCAGTGCAAAAGAGCTGCTCTGCCCACTTATTAGACAAATGGTCACAAAGAAGTTGAAGAAAAACTTCAGTATCCAACTTAAATGCCTGAATGTAAGAACTAAACCATGAGGTTGAAAAAACAAATATACATATACGCCTACTTCATCCAAGATAGTCACAATATGGAGAGACCTTTGCTCCCAGAACAGAATTTCTTTGGTTGCTCATCAGCTTATTTAGGAACAGTGGATAAACCACGCTTGGGCCAAGCCATGGTCCAATTTCTGTTGCACATTACAGTCAATATTCTCTCGTTAAATAGTTCAAGCTATGCATGCCAAATGTAGATTTATGAGACCATCTGTTCCCTGAGGCCACTCATTTGAAACATAGTAGGCGGTTCCACTTCGCTATGCACTCTCTTGATCTTCACTGATAATGGAATGATCAAATTTACCAAAGTCACAGTATATTTGCATCAGAAATACACTGGAAAACGTCAAACTTTACTGATTTCAGAATGCAACAAGTCTTACGGAGTTCGGTATATCATGAATGTTTTAGGTTCGTTGCCTATCAGACTGGTTGGAATACCACCCTAGACATTCATGTCATCAGTGAGGAACAGTTTTACTACATTCATCTTCCATCACCACCAGCAAACGTCACTCCGGGAATTTTCTGGAAGTTTGCTGCACCGGGAACTAAACAACAGCCTAGAATTCAGGTATCACGAAGACGCCTCGTTTTTTCCTTCAAGCTCAGTTCGCTGCACGATAGTATCATGACTGATGCAACATGATAATGTGTTCATGATAATGTGTTCCACAGGGAATCATATGCTTCACAAAAGAATTTGCTGAAATGTTTGAGCGAAAATGAGGTCTTATTCTTAATTTTAGAATAGGCGATCTACATGCCAACCATAGTCCGCTTCTCCGAAATATTAGACAAAATGCATAACCTAAATGATGTCGGTGAACACTGCTCACCCGTCTGTAGGAGTCATTTCACCCTAGCCGTGCAGTAATTTGGAACGGATGCTCTGAACGTTGTTTTATGACAATTCGACCCAAAAAGACAGAACCGGAAGAAGGCCCGAGTCAGACCATGCATATTCTTTCATTAGCGAGTTAGCACATGAGCAGTTGGCGTAGGGTAAGCTAGATTTACGTTCGTAGGTATCCTCGATTTGGTTACAGCCAAAAACCTGTAGAAACATTATGCGGTGATACTGTTCCATTACCTTTTCGTCAATTACAAATTGTATATTTTTTATTTCCGTTTATACCATTACACTTCATAGTGGAAGGAATACTGGAGGTTACAAAGTGCTGTGTAGCGTCCGACTGCTCCAAAGCTGCCTACGATTCTAGGCGGGTAAGATGGGTACCATCGACCTTGACCGGCCGGTTGAAGCGTGTAAAAAGCTAATCATAAAATTCTCATATCTTTGACCGACCACAACTCAGTTTACCCTTACTCTTTGACCTTCCATAACTGGTGGTCGTGTTTGTTCGAATGAAGACTATGGAAAAATTACGTTTGTTAAATTTCGTTTTCATACAGGTGTTGGAAAAATGTGCAAGTGCAATGCAAACTGCTAAGTGAGATGGGAAAAATGCCCCGATGTTTTAATTTAAAGCAGAATCATGCCTGTATTCCTCTCCTCATCGCTCAGAAAAACTGTAAGAGGAAGTTATTTGTCCTATCAGTTCGCTTTTATACAACAGTTGTCTATCCTGGCTCAGGATCTTGCTGGCCTCTAAATAGCTAGACCATAGAGTGTCTCTACCTTTATGGCTCACCATCAGATGACGCAGATATAATATCTAACCGATAACATTTGTGCAAGTATAACAGTTGCCATATAATCAATGGATTGTTAATGTGTCCCATTTCCTAAAGCATCACGCGGCAAATTTACAGTGGTATTCACCAAAACTAGATTATATGAGCCTTCAGGAAACAGATGACGTTTTCCCTTGTTGTAAATGTTCTTTTGTAATTAGACACCTTTCATATACTTCACTATAAATTGGAGCGTTAAGAGGACAATCCACAATAATATGAGCCACTGCTGTCATTTGGACGGGTGGATTAGTAGAAATTCGGTAGCCTGTGAGTGCTTTTTGAACAACGTTTGTCACAAAATGATGAAATACTTCAAGTTCAGGGGACCTAGCACGCCAAATAGTGATTGACACTGAGACATGGTGGGTTTTCGTGGCGGTTTCCAATTCCTTTTTTAGCTAAACCAACAAAAGGAAATACTGAAATCTGGTGAAATATTACAAAGTAACTTGCAAGAACTTGGTAATTGTCGGGCTACTTCCAGAAAGCGTTCTATGTTCCTAAGTACTGTGATTTAAAGTTATCGATCAGACTAATCTATTCTAAACGGATTACAATAATATTCAGTGGGTATGGCACCAGTGACAACCACATAATCTGTTTTGGTGCGATCGTTGTTTGATAACATCAAGCTGCCTAGGTTTTTTCCATTGAATGTGGACCAACCACCTTCTTTTGGATTCTGAATACTCTTTGGAAGGCTGCGAAGCTAGAAGAAAACAAAGAGAAAAGCTTTTAACCAAACTAAAGAGGGTACTAGATGTGTAGTGAATTTTCACCTGCCAGGCCAGGTGGCTGAGTAGGTAGGGTCCAGAACTAGAAGCTTAGTGACCCAGTTTGGTCCACAGTGAACAGCTTTAAATTATTTATCGACCACTTTATGATAGGCTCATGTAATTTTAAGAACGAAAGAACAAAAATACGGGTTAGAACCTATTTTTGACCAGCCGCTGACTTATCCGGGTGATCGGTTTATTTTTTGACGGTCAAATTTTGTTTGGGTGATGCTTTTTAGCCGCGTTGGCAGTTGGCTTGCAAGCCAATTGCCAAGCTCGGCGAACAGATCAATGGTAGAATAGTTTATTTCTACGCAGTTTGTTGGCCAGATTCTTTGAATACTCATTTTTCATGAATTCAGCTACAATTAGCCACTGAGTAATGGCAACCGTAAAAAAAGGGACTTTCCTGCATCGTTTGCGCCACATTCCACCCAACCTTTGTACTTACTGCACCACTCATGAGGTTTCTGAAAGTTCTTCGACAGCCCAAGAACGGTTTTGCTGCTCTTGGAGCTTATCAGGTAGGCGAAGTCCCGAGTTTTCATCAACCTTATGTTCTTCTTGAACCCAAATTGTGCGAAATTAGCGAAATACATTCATTTGCGAACCAATTTGGTTTTCCGGGAGACTCATCTGGAACCCAGCCGAATCTCTTGTTTATGATGTTTTTAAGCAAATGAATGTGCTGCGCCGAATCGCCTCATCTTTCACTTGATACGATCTCCAAGATATCACGACAGATGTATAGACGTAATACTTAATGAGCCTCAAGAAGAGTGAAACCAGTCACGGACTGTCGGCGAGTTTTCAGTAACCTTATGAGTAAAGTATTATGTTTATAGATGTGTTTCGATATCTCGAATATTGTACCAACTCAAACATGAGGCATCCGGGTGCAGTACATTCAGCTGCCTAAAGACATCATAAACGAAGGATTCGGCTGACTTCCAAGTGAGTGTCCACAAGACCAAAGTGGCTTGCAAATGGATGTCTTTCGCTAATCTACTGAATTTTCTCTACCATTGGGAGCTTTACATTGCTTAGAATCATTTTTGTCTTAACCTGATGCCGACCAAAAGTATTTTTCATTCTGGAAGTTATCATACGCTGCCAGAAATTTCACCGTGAAATATGGCATTTGGCCACGGCTTTGTTTTTTGGTTTGTACTGAACACCCGGTTTGTTGAACCGAAATGTTTACCGTCTGATATTCAGCTCAGTTTGTTGAGTTCACCATATCAGAGAAGATCTACAAAGATAGCGGGGTACAACAACAAGAGCTGCAAAATACTGTTACGTTTTATCACGAGCAATCACCCTTCAATCCATGGTGAACGTAAATCTAAATATTTTATTTACAGTGCTGAATAGCAACAATGTTAGTTGTTAAAATCATTACCAATTTCTTTTGGGTTATTTTAAGAAAACCAGCCCTACTTTGCTAGAAGTAGATAAATGGACGGTACTGTTATTACCCCAGCTATAATTGCAGCGTGATGGTTAGTGTTATACACAGAGTGTACTGTATGCCGGCACAAGCTGGAAAGACATACTTGTTTTTTAACACCTGTGGGCTTTAGCAAAGTATGCTTAGGGCGATTCTGGCCAGGCTACAATTTAATTCCGTACTTAAAATAATAACCAGTACAGTGTTGGACCTAAGAGTTAAAGCGAATGCCTCAAACGTTGTTTTAGGGAGGGATAGCTACAGGACTCGGCAAGCAAATACAAGTTTCCAGTTCTGCGTAGGTGCGTAACTGCGCCCAACCTGATACCCACGTCAGAAAGTTATAGAATAGCATTTAATTTCCAAAAGGGCGGCACCACCAGGGGGAAAATGTTTGGGCAAAAGACCAAGGCCGAGTGAGGAAGTAGATGACCTGAGGAGCTTGGAGTTTATATGTTTAGCCTTCGAGTAAAAAGTCTTTGCCTAAGTGGGCTTTTACCTTACGCACACTAAACAACTCATGGGTCTTTACCGTCGAAAATCGTGCTGAGATCAGTGCAAGCTTGCTATCTGTACTTGAGTTGTTAATTTTTATATGAAAACTTCATACTGGCTTTTGCAGTCACTTTTGACCCTTTCCTTGGAATTTAACATTTTTGCTGAACCCGAATACACCTAACTGTTGTCGTTTTCCTCAGACTGTCGTTTCATCTTTTATATGACAGACAGTTCTCCTTTGTCGTTGTCAAAGAACTACAGATTCGTTATTTTCTAATCACAGTGTCCAAATATCGGTTGGAAGTGTACTAGAGTCAACAGTTGCTAGTGGTCAGTGAATGCATAATTGAAGCACTTCTTAGTACCCACTGGGCAACCCAATTGGAAGTTTTCTTGGTCGGAATCTCACCATCTAATTTTAATAAGCCGATTATAAATAATGCAGTTGGCAACTGGCTGGCAACTGGTTGAAATTCTGCCTTCTGTGTACCCCAAGATCTGCAGGCTTTCGTCCTATACGTAGTGTTTTGGGTTTACTCTTTTTATATATTCAGCTTGCGGGGTCACAAAAGTAATTAACTGATTTGAATAGTACTGTCCAGAATTAGTTCCCCCTGATTTTCTTCAAGGGGGTACACTGAAATTTAGTTCAACGGACAATGTACTGATGCATCAGTTGAATGTGCATTTTAAGTGGTCGATATCCTGGGCTAGGTGAAGCGTTCTGATATATAACACACGATCGGAAGTATATTGCGGACCCACCCGCAAAATTTGAATTCCTGATGCAAACGAAATTTCTTTGCCTAAAATTCCGTAATTTTCTTCTTGGGTTCTAGAAAACAAAAACGAAAAAATTTTGTTCTGGAGTCAATAAGAGGCTCAAAGTTAGGGTCTCTCCATCATCGGAATAAATCAGCCAGACTCAGAGGACAAACTAGTATTTTTGCAGAATGTCACTCCTGAATTTGCAATATCAGCGTCTGAATAGTTCCAAGATGTTACTATTGCGGTGTTATCATCTGAGCAAACTCGTTTTGTGCAGCTCTCACCCAGTGTGATCATATGAATGCCATGTATTCAAAAGTCGTTATGAATTCTCGCAAGAGAAACACGTCTGGACCGAATTTCAGCCATACTTATGACATT